ATGACATGTATTTATCATGGTGACCCCACCATACCTGCAGGCTTTCATGACAAGATTGCCTGAAGGTTGGCTACGGTCATCCATGAAACCACGGACATATCAACGGCAGAATCCGTGTGATTGGTCCGCATGCACAAAATAAAAGGCAGAGCATGGGAGAACAGTGTTGAGGGCGACTGACTGAGCCCCACCATGTTCTCAAGACATTTTCAGACCGGAGACCTCCCCAGCATTGGTGTCTCCTAACTCTGATTCTTTATTGAACTCTGTACATGTACATGTGCATATTATAGTTTCTATATGTACCATGTCATGATGTTTTGCCTTTCATGATAATTCTTATTTTGTGTGCCCCACCGAACTCTTATGTGTAGGTATCGGTGGGCTGTAATTCATTACGTGTGATTCCCAAGGGGATCACATCTCTGTTGGCATGTTGAGGCTACCATTATGACTAATGTCTTTATCATGCCGACCTTTTTGGGCTGCCTTGTCCACCCACATGTGGAGCGACGGGCCCATCCAGGGTTTACGCGTATTGTTACGTGCCCCTGTGAAAGCACAATAGCATCTCGCTTGACCCACCTCCTTGACGGTGCTAGTCTATGCATAAGTAGTGTTGCTCTACAGGTAAGTAGAGTGAAGTAGACTCCCCCCCCCCACAGAAGTGTGGTTGGGGTCTACGAACGAATACTTACCTGTAGAGCATCCCTCCCTCCTACCCCACTCTTCTCGATGCCTTGGATACTTTGTTGTATTCCGACTTAGCGCTCGAGAAAAGAGGACGCTCACGAGGCACGCATGCCGCGGGGTGTTATGGGTAGGGCGCCGGAGGGCGCTATTGTATATAACTCTTAGCGAAAATACCTGCCGGTAGGGGGAATATGCATAAGTAGTGTTGCTCTACAGGTAAGTATTCGTTCGTAGACCCCAACCACACTTCTGTGGGGGGGGATTTTAAAATGGCCGCCATTGAGAGGGGGTTCACATTTTGATCTTTTTTCCAAAATTGTCGATTGCCTAGCTCACAACCTTTCAGTTGGTATATAACTTACCCAGACAAAATAAAAAATACTAATGAAAAAGGTTCCAGAATTTTACTTATTCAAAACCTCAAAATTAAGGCTGAGTTTAAAGGGTTATTGGCCTTCGTACTTTTGAATATGCAGCGTACGTAGTCATGCCAATAACCAAACCTGTCATATCTGTTTTTCACACGTTGCACGTAGTGTATGCTAACCGTGCAAGTTTATCAAACAAAACCTGCCATCACTCCGTTTCCTCGAATACTTAAGTTATGCACGCGAACTGCCCCCACCCAGCTGATAACAAAACTTGCCATATCTGTGTTTCCCCCAATGCACGTAGTGTATGCTAACCAAGTTTATACAAAACTTGCCATAAATCTGTTTCCTCGAATACACGCAATGCATGAGAACTGGCCGCCTACCAGCCGATTAACAAAACCTGCCATATCTGTGTTTCTTCATTGCACATAGTGTTATGCAATCAGCTGAAAAAATGACCCTTACTGACCGTTAGGTGACCACTGGCTAAATTCTGTGTACACCCTATATGAGGCATGGTCCAAAGATGTAACTGACCAAGTTTCACATTAATTCGGTCAAAACTGTGGGAGAAAAAGCATTTTGTAGATTTTCATTAAATGACCACTAGTGACCATCAGATGACCATTGGCCAGGTTTTATGAATGTGGCTAAGAAGGGCACGTGTCCAGGTTTCATTTGACCAAGTTTGTTTGAAAATCGGCTGATTAGTTTATGAGTTATTGCCATTTTAAAAATTTGATAAATTTGATCATGTGACCGCATTTGGTCACCTGATAATTGGAAAGAAGAAGAAGAAAGAAACGACTGAAATACAGTCGTTGGACGACTAAAGCCCTGTCCGCAGTGGACTTTTTTTGGTCAAACTAACCGAGACTATAGCCGTGTCCGCACTGGACTTTTTTTTGGGAAGGTTTTACCGAGACGATGGTAAAATGAGAAATGGTCAAATGTGACCACTGTCCGCACTTGGACTTTCGACACGGGAAAATTTACCCAGACGCGTGGGAGAAGTAACTGAGCTGTCACAGTGTCAGTATAATGACTCACCGTACACAGAAAACAAATTGCCGATCACATTTTCAGCTGCCGATACGCACAGTAATATTTCATACGCCATTTGCATGCACAACATAATCGTTTACACGATATTATTTCATCTTGACACTGTGTATGTATTTGTCCGTTGAAATATATATTTTAACGAGATTTTACCGCTCGGACTTGATGATACACCGCAGCGTGTTTCTACAAAATTTTCGGCCACTGCACGTGCAGGATGTGCGGTCTCTGTATGCATAACAGGGCGCTCGGGCCGGATGTACGCTTTCCTGAGCCGCTTTTACCGACTCGCACTGTCCGCACTGGACTTATCGTCTCGGGAAAAGTGACCTGGTCAGTTTTCCTGGGCGCGTGGGAAGTTTTCCTGGGCAGCAGTTGGCCAGTAAAAGTAACCGCTGGACTCGGGAAAAGTAACCGAGAGGAAAACGTCCTAGGCTGTCCGCACTGGACTTAAAATGGGAAAAGTACCCATAGTCTCGGTTAGTTTGACCAAAAAAAGTCCAGTGCGGACAGTTAAGCCGTGTCCGCACTGGACTTTTTTTTGGGAAGGTTTTACCGAGACGATGGTAAAATGAGAAATGGTCAAATGTGACCACTGTCCGCACTTGGACTTTCGACACGGGAAAATTTACCCAGACCGCGTGGGAGAAGTAACTGAGCTGTCACAGTGTCAGTATAATGACTCACCATACACAGAAAACAAATTGCCGATCACATTTTCAGCTGCCGATACGCACAGTAATATTTCATACGCCATTTGCATGCACAACATAATCGTTTACACGATATTATTTCATCTTGACACTGTGTATGTATTTGTCCGTTGAAATATATATTTTAACGAGATTTTACCGCTCGGACTTGATGATACACCGCAGCGTGTTTCTACAAAATTTTCGGCCACTGCACGTGCAGGATGTGCGGTCTCTGTATGCATAACAGGGCGCTCGGGCCGGATGTACGCTTTCCTGAGCCGCTTTTACCGACTCGCACTGTGCGCACTGGACTTATCGTCTCGGGAAAAGTGACCTGGTCAGTTTTCCTGGGCGCGTGGGAAGTTTTCCAGGGCAGCAGTTGGCCAGTAAAAGTAAAGGTAATTAACAAAATTGGGTCCCCAAAAGGTAATAAACAAAATTGGGTCCCCAAAATGGCTAGTTTCTGTGTCGGAGGGTTGTACCTTCCAATCGATAATCATTCAGACCATGTTACTTGCTGTATGCTCTTAGGTTCACTTGACATGCACTGGATCATTTTTTTGGGGAAAAGTATGTATCCGTTTCTTGGCGTATCCCTCTTAATAAAGGAAGGAGTGTTCCGTTGTTGTTAATGTCTGTTGCTTGCTTTATGCTCCCAAGTCAATCGCTTCTCAAAATAAATACCTGGGACAGTGTATCGGTTGAGAGCATGCTATATTGTTTTAAGCCACCCGACGAAAATTGGTTACAGAGATGCCACTTTTCAGGTTTTAACCTGAATGCAGGGGTTTTTTTTTCAAAAAATGTGACAAATTAAAAGTGTTGGATTTGGTCTGAAACATCCAGAAAACACATTTTTGAAAGGGGGTAAGGGTAGTTTCAGGTTGTTTTAGTAGTGTTTCAGGCTTTTTATTGATATATTGGTGGCATCTGTGTTTAAAACTGACCTGTAAAAATACATACATGTAGCCCTTGAATCAGGACAATACATTTCTGCTTTTGTTTAGTGATATTCTTTGAAATTGGTGTGTTTTAAAACAGTTTCCTGTATGAAAAAAACATTATTTTAGATTGTGTGTATTGAAACTGTCTTTGAAATAGAGAAACTAAATACAGTAAACTCCGGCTAAACTGGCACTCTCGGCACCCAATTTGTGACGACTTACGCGAATGCCGATATATGCTCATTTTGCCGACTTACATGAATGGTCTTTTGCACACATGATTCATTGCACTAATTGGCTTCGATTTACCCTGGATTATCTCCTTATTGCTTGAGTTGAATCCAGCAAATTAATCCTTGAATTGTATCATCACGTTTGGGGTATTGAGAGTGGAGACCACGATACATGTGTACGTGCACAGTAACGAATTAAACGCGTGCGTGGTCCAGTATATACCACGCACGCATTGACTGCAGCACTGGTCATTCAATAAGACGACCCCCAAAATGGACAGAGCGCATGCGTACAGCCTAGAGGGGGGTATTGATATGCTCACGATGCATTATGCTGTGTATGCAGCAAAGATCCTATTGCGCTGCGTAGTGGTATGCAGTAGGACACCCTTTTTCAACACCGATGCATGCAGCGATCACGGGCCGCGCAAAACCACTTTTCACTCGACATTTTGCCAACAGCAGTACAGGAAGTCGATGCCAATGCGTGATTTGTTGAATGCCGACTTACACAAAGGATTTTGTAATGCTTTTTATGGAAAGGGGACCGAGAGTAACAGGACGACTTGAGCAAAATGGCGACTTGTAAAAGCCGACTTAGGACTATAAAATTCAATGGAAATGCATTACGGACTATTGGGACTTTAGTCAGACGGCCGACTTGAGTGATTTGACGAGTTGTATGATGTCGGTTTAGCCGGAGTTTACTGTATGTGGTTTATATTAAGGCTGAAAATTGTGGTATAAAATTGTCTGCTCACTTGCATTACACATCTCGTACGTACCGGTAAGCACACAAATATTTTAGCTAGTGGGCGCATTTCAAGCGGCCGCTGTTTCTTGAGTTCAGGAGTTTAATACCAGAGGGAGTTGTGATTCATATGTGTAAAACCTGAATGCATAGGAATTTCAACTAGATTACTGATGGTTGTTCTCCTTGTCTACATTTGTGAATTTACCCTTATATCGCTTGTTTCAAATTTTGAATATTTCATACAGATTATTCGTAGACATGAGGCCAACAAAGTACGCTATGAAAATCAGCAGTATTCCTTCCAAGCACAACTTGATAGAGAACTCAAAGAAAATGCTGATCTGAAAGAAAGGGGGTGAGTTTTGATCTACGTTTAGAGCAAATCTGTGTGCAGACTACTGTGATGCTAAGGACCAGCAAGTCATACTCTCTGAAGCAGCATACTCTGTGAACCATATTGTGCCTGACCAAATTAATCAGGCTGTGAAAGGGACTTGGAGGACATTTGCAATATACACCGTGTTTACACTGGATCCTGCAAAGGTGGATCGCATCCTGCGGTCGCATAAAACTACAGGGAAGCTAACCGCAAGTAAACGGTGCCGTGTTTACACCCGATCCTGATCCCCTTCCAATCCCCCATTTACAACGGAAGGAAAGTCATTGAGTGTGCGCAGAAGATGGCCAATTTTGCACGCTAAGCACTGCAAAAAATTCAGATATATCGTTCATCGCTATCTCACTGTCGTAATCTAGCTTCATCCTCCGCGCAATGCCACACTAGCCCAAGAATAACATCGCAGTAATGTTACGTATATAAGTCATGACTTCCAAATGAAGTTAAGTCACTTAGCAGAGCAATTGTTTCTACCATTGAGGTAGGAATCTAGCGGGATTTAACTCCGAAATTTTTAACATTTATTGGGAATATGAAAAGATTTAGAGAATCAAATCGCCAAACTGAAACAACATAAAATCGGCATAAACGTGACTGCACAAATGATCGGATTTGGGAACACGTTGTGGCTAGTGATTTTAAGGCGATTGTGTAGTTAAAGGCCCCGTTCCAAATAAAGAGAACGTAACCCTGCGATCCAGGAGTCACCCAACTACTAATTAATATCTAAAACAAACCAGGGTTTGAAGTTTTTAAGAAATTTTTGGAGGGAAAATGGCAATGAAGATGACGAAACGCAACACACACAAAAATAGTTGATGGCGAGCAGTAGATCGAGCAGCTGTGCTGAACCCCTTTGGTGTAGTAGCTGAAAATGCGTAAATAAAATGGCACTTTCTAACTAAGAATAATGTTCAAACCCACAAAAAAATGGACGTTAAAATACAAAAACAGACTGCTTAATGTAGAAATGATTTTGGAACGAAAAACACTTGAAGGACTAAACATAACCCCTACGAAAGACAGGCCTATGACTACACAGTCTCCACTTTCATGCTCGTGGACGAAACAAGGATTGATTCTGGCCGAGTACCAACTGCGCATATGTGCTGTGCACAGAACCACGTTGGGAGCCATCGCAGCATTCATGCGGGCTTTGCGCCGGCGACTCATCAATAACAACATATATTTTTCACGGACCTTTCTACACTGACAGGATGTGGCTGGGTCAAATTGCGGGGTCCAATCCACCAATTGCGTTTACATTCAACAATTGGGGGATCAGATCCCGCAATCGCGGGGTCCGATCCTTCCCAAAAGGGGGATTCAGCTAAGGGGGATCCGATCCTGCTAAAGGCTCGATCCTGCTAACACTTGCGGTTAAGCAGACTTCGATCATCCTTGCCGGATCAGCTCCCCCTCGAATCCCCCTTGCAGGATCCAGTGTAAACGCGGTCATAATGCCCACCCATAGTTCGAGGAAGATAGTAATAATTTTTCTGGTACATATATATGAGGCTTTAACTACCTTTCTCCAAAAGTTACAACAAAAGAAATACTATTGACCTCAATTGTATCATTGGGAATTGTTGTAAACTTGACTAAAAATATTCCCTGTCCATAAAAAAAAAACAATTGTTTTTTTTTTGGGGGGGGGGACCCTCAACTGATCAGTTAATGTGTTAAAGAACCCATTAACACCTAAGAAACACCGGGTTTGCCCCAGTGTTTCTGGCAGTGGCTGCAATGTGCGCCACAGCACCTTGTAAACCTTTATAAAGGTGCTAGATAATGGGTCTCGCATTTCTCATAAACTTCATTTACCTGTCTTTAAAAATAGACATAATTACCAGTGCCTAGAGTACCTAATTGTTGGTAGATATGTGTGCTATATAAAACTCTGGTATATTCCCCATTTAATAGACGGCGTCGGCATCTGCAAAGACCTTTTTGGACAAACTCTTTTAAAAGAAATGGAATTTCATATCTGCCATTTCCAAGTCTTGTGTGCCTGATTATCTATCCCAGTCCTGCCTCTGAAAGATTTTATTTGAACCGACACATCAGATCTTAACACTTAACACTTACACACCAGACATCTGATTATTTGGACTTTATTACTTATTTTTACTGTATTGATGCCGCAATTTGGTCAATGAGAGAAAGCACAAAGTAATGCAATGCTTTTGGTGCAATTAAACCTTTTCAGGATAAAACTATTACCTCTTTGGTGCAAGTATATTTTCATTAAAAAAAATGCACATGAATACAAATTTTAAAAAAATGCTTTAGTGTGGTCCCCCAAATCAGTGCGTGTATCTGTTTACTCTAAGCCCCTTTATGTGTATAAAGGTCATTACTCCATTGTTTCCCATGCAGGTCTGAACTTGGAAAACATTTGTTACAGATGGAAAAGCAGCATCTTCTTAGAAAATCCTATTTGGAACAAAATCTGACAGAGGTACATATTTAAAATTGATAACATATCAAAACATTATAAAATATAAACGTGTATTTCTAATGTGCATGACTTTTCTTTACCCTCAAAAATACTCTTTAAAAGGTTTTGCATCTGACTTTTACTGACAAGTTACCAATTTCCATTGGTTTATAATTAGCATATGTAATTTATGACTTGCAAAGGGAACCAGTTGAACCCATTTGAACACATCAGTTACCTTACTGGTTATTCTTATGGAGTCAACAGGTATCAGTTGAAGAAAACAGTTATAGTGTCAATTGTTAATTCTTTTGGAAACCACAGGAACCAGTTCAGAGCAGTTTAACAAATCAATGTCCACATGTACTAGTTACTTTCTGGTAGTTGTTAAGAAATCAACAGGTACCAGTTAAACATTAAAGAAACCAGTTGGGCCTACCAGCTGTTTGAACTGGTTTGGGAGGGCTTGTGCCAACATTTGGGTAGTTTCCCCTAGTTGTGGCATGTGTTGAATGATGGCCTGTCTGCATTAAGGAGATACAATTTGGTGAGGTGTTGTTCTGGGTTGCTGCTTGTGCTTCTGACATTGTTGGTAAACTGCACTGATGTGAGACAAATCAACCTTTGTGGTCATGCTTTTGATTTGTTTAGCAGTAGTTGTTTTAGCTGATGAGCATGACTGTTTAATCTATAAATGCTTTCCATAGGTAATGTGATTTGTAAACATGGCCTAAATTGCCACTTTTATGCAGATGATACCGTGCTGGAGTCTCCAACATCTAAAGATGTGACATTGTTATTACCATTGAGAAATGTTGTATCGACCTCAAACAATGGATGGTCAGTAACTACCTGAAGATGGATGCTAACAAAACAGAAGTACTTATCATTGGAATCAGGGCTCAAAACATATTTTTTAAGCAAGTTTATTGAAATTGGTTGCTTGATACTTGATACTGTAATCCTTTTACAGTTCCTCTTGAGCTAAACTAGGATGTTGGTACAGAAATGGCGTCTCCAGCCACGGGGTGCAAGTAAAAGAAAAGCAGTACAGCAGACGAAGACTGGCAACAGCCAAACAAGCAAAGGAAAAAGGATCTCTTTAACAACTGAGGGTGTACTATATACAGGAACTGGTAGGTGGATTACAGGAGGTTGCTGCCAGGTGGAGGAAGCATCTCCCCGATGGAATGAAGAGCAGCTTCCTTGAAGGCTGGTACAGTTGTTATGGTGACAGCAGACTGCGGCAGATTATTCCAGATGCGTATGGATCTTGGGTAAAATGAATACTTGTATGCTTCTGTGGTGGGTGATGGAATCTGGTACTTGAGGTAATGGTCGTGACGAGAGAAATATGTAGCCGGGATGACAATTGGTGGGAAATGCATGTTTACTAGCTGGTAGTGAATCTTGAAGAACAGTATAATACATTCTGTGCCAGAAGACGTCGGACTTGCAGAGAGTCCCAGCCGAAGTTGTTAATCAGCGGTGTTACGTGGGTCGTCCTGCGATAGTCGGCATACACAAAGCGTGCAGCTGCTCTCCGGACCTGTTCCAGCTTGTCCACTAATGATGTTGTATATGGGCACCAAGCTTCAGAGGCATATTCGAGTCTAGGACGGACCAGGGACTTGTATGCTTTTGTCTTGATGTCTTTTGAACAGGGTGCTAATGTTCCACGTAGCAGACCAAGGGTTTTATTCCATTTCTTGATGATGTTGGTACAATGGGAATTCCAACGTAGGTCACTGGCGATGGTGATGCCTAAGTAGTCATGTTGATCCATATTGGAGAGTGATTGACCAAAGATGGTATATTGGTATTGGCTGGGTTTCCTTTTACGAGTAATCGACAGGACTGCACATTTCTGGATGTTGAATTCCATCAGCCATTTGGTAGCCCACTCAGCTAGAACCTTGTTGGAGCATTTGATGGTCTTGGTGATCTTTAATTTCTCTGTAGACAGTGCTGTCATCCGCAAATAACCTTATTTGGGAATGGATGTTGTTCTGGATGTCATTGATGTACAGGAGAAATAAGGCTGGTCCTAGAACCAAGCCCTGGGGTACTCCAGATGTTACTTTCCCCCAGGACGAGTGCCTGCCATTTACGGACACTGCTTGCTGACGACCTGATAGAAATGCATTGATCCAACGCAGAGTTGACCCTCTAATCCCATAGAAATCAAGTTTGACGGAAAGGTGATGGTGTGCGACCTTATCGAAGGCCTTACCAAAGTCCAAAAGAATGACATCAGTCTGGCCTTGATGCTCCAAAGTAGTTGCCCAGTCGTGTACAGATGTTAGGAGTTGTGTGACTGTGGATAACCGCTCTCTAAACCCATGTTGGGAGTCCAGTAGGATGTTATGTTGGCTGAGGTGTTTTGCCATGTGACTCAAAACAATGTGTTCTAGCATCTTACAGCATATGCAGGTCAGGGAGATCGGCCTATAGTTTGAAGGATCTGATTTTGTGCCTTTCTTAGCGGTCACTATAGCTTGTCTCCACTGCGCTGGTACTTTGCCTGTGTCAACAGATGGTTGATAAAGAACGGTTAGGGCGGGAACAAGCTCCACGGCAACAGATTTGAGTAATCTCTTTGTCAGGGCCACTTGCTTTTGTTGGATTTAGATTCAGCAATTGCTTGGCTACACCTTCTACATGAATTTTGAGATGAGAGATGCTGGGATGATGTGATGGACTTTTATCCGGGACATTATCAGATGAACTTGAGGAGAAGACAGATTTAAACTGCTCGTTTAGAGCCTGGGCTTTGTCCTCATCGGTGGTGCATAATTTGGTCTGGGTACGTAGAGCTGGGATGCCAAGGTTCTCGGTCCTCATCAGCTTGATGTATGACCAGAATGTTTTTGGTCTATCTGTCAAGCTTCCACCGACAACTTTGTTGATGTAATTTGCATGGGCTTGCTTGATGTGCTTGGCTAAGCTGTTTCTGTATTGTCTAAAACACTTCTATTTGGCTGTCACGTTTCCTCATTTTCCTCTTGATGGCTGGTGTTATCCATGGCAGGTGTCTTTTGCCACTTTTCATCCTTGACGGAACATGTGTTCAACAAGCTTTGCAACTTATCTCCGATAATTTGCCAGTTCGTGTCCACAGAATTTTGCAAAGGATTACTTGCAACAAACTGGTCGCTGGACTGCTGGGTGTCAGATTTCAACTGATCCATGTTGCCCTTTTTGTAGTTGTAAATCTTGTGAGGCAATTTAGCTTGATGTTTGGGTTTCATGTTTACATCAAATAGCACTACATTGTGATCTGAAATGCCAGGCATTATTCTGACATTATTGATGAGATGTGGGCATGTTGACATCACGAGGTCCAAGATACAGTTAGAAACCGGGTGTGTTATTTCCGTAACCAGTTAATGAGTTTTCCAAGACAAAATTGAGGAATTTTGTAAAGAGACTGTCTTGGAGTTTTTGGTAGACCAGGAGGACCAATCGACATCAGGCATGTTGAAATCACCTCCTATGACTATGTTTGGGCAATGGCAGTTGTTCTTATTTAAAAGCTTGGTGACTGAATTTGACAGCTCGTCAACAGCCCTGCTCTTATTTGAATGTGGATTATAATAGCTGGCAACGTAGAGTGGTTTAGAGCCTGTGAACTGCAAACTGGCCCAGATGATTTCACATTCAGAATCAAGGTCAGGCATGTCGACTGATATAAACTTGTCTTTGGTTGCAACAAAAACTCCACCCCCGTGCTGATCTCTATCCTTACGGTAAACTGTATAGTTGTCAGGAAACAGTGAGTAAGATGGCATTGTGCTATCTATTTTAGATTCGCATCCAAGGATAATGTCGGGCTCGTATTGTTCCACATGAGCACGGAAGGCAGCTTGTTTAGCAACGCTCTTGATACTGTTGCAGTTTATAACCATGTTTTCAGGCCAGAAACACGATTTTTGGGTGGTACGAAACTGAACCTGTTTGACTGGTGAGTTGGGGTAGAAGCCTGAGGTTGAGTAGACAAATCCAAATCATGACTTTCCGAGGAATTCAATGCTGAGAAGGGATTAGATAATTCGTTGGATGCAGTTGCAAACAAGGAACTGTTAAAGTTTGGATGGCCACACTGATAGCAGATCCAAGAGATTTTTCAGATGACATTCCACAGCAATTGATGTGGCACCAGTAATTACACATGTCACAACAGATGGCATTTGCGTTATCATCAACTTCATTCTTGCAAATTTCACAAAGGAACTCAGTGGGTGTAGGGCCTGGGTTGGTTTCTACTTGACCACTCAATAATATCATGAGGAAAGGTGATGCGTGTTATTTGATGCAAAATTCCACACACCAGTGTGCCAAGACAATTTTTGAGTTGACATGATGTTTATTGCCAAGCTCCAGTCATTGGCGAAGAGTGAAAGTTCATCCCCCTGCCATGCAGTGCTGGTACTATTGCAGTTGATTGAGTTTTTAAGGCAATCACCTTGAGTATCATGCACACATGTCCTTGCTCTATGCTGGAGTCCAAGCATTTTGTGGAATTGGACCATTATTGCGATAATAATGACGAGTTTCTGCAGAAAGGTGTGATCAATACCACCAGTTCTAGGTCTGAGGCGAGCCATATTGCGCTCAAAGTAAAGCAGTTAGCAAGACAAATAAGGTTTGATCCTACCGTACTATCTCGTATAGTGTACTGCTTCCGTGTTTACGCCATGCATGCCATGGGAAAATTTCACCTGTGTGCATAGTATATAGTGGAATTCAACACTGCCAGTCAATACAAACAAGTTCAGATTGGAGAATAAAATGGCCAAAAATTTCCTCTGGAGGTCTGGAAGTTGCGCAAAAACTGGTTCAGATGGATCATGAGGTGTTAACCCTAAAGGGGCCGGGGGGGGGCGGAATCCGCCCCCCCCTCAACATTTTCCGTGATAACTTCTAAAAAAAATTTTTTCGCGACCCGAGCTGTTATGACTTTTTAGCCTCGAGCTTTGCGCATCTTTTGATACCAAAAACATAAAAATCGGACCACGGGTTGGAACGTAGCGAAAAATTGTCCGGCGCTACGCGCCGTGAAAACTGAATTTTTGCATATACGTCGTGTACACCGAGCAGAATTGCCATTCATATATATGAATAATTAATTAGCCATAATTCCAAAACCCTTTGACCTATAGTCATGAAATTTCTTGGGCATGTTTAGGAAGAGTTGCTCTATGCATGTGCTGAGTTTCAAAAATTTTCGTCACTTGATGGCCGAGATCTTAGGGGGGGGGGCGGAATCCCCCCCCCCCCCCCCCCCCCCCCCCCCCCCCCCCCCCCCCCCCCCCCCCCCCCCGGCTGAGAGATGGTCAAAATAACCCGGCCCCTTTAGGGTTAATAGACCCAAATTTTCATCAAAGAAGAGTGGATGAAGAAAAAATATGCAAAAATCAAGACGATTTTGATAGCAAAATTGGCGAGCAGAAAAAGATTGCACCCGGCGGCTGTGACGTCATCTCTTGGCTGTACATGTACACGACCCTTGCTTTTTGAAGTCTCCCATAGTGTTTTATGTTTAGTGCTTGTGCATGGTATTGAGTAAATTTAGTGTTGTGAGATATAAATGAGTTTGTCTTACATTCACTATGTGGACTTGTGAACAAAAGATGTCCACATAATGCAGGTTGTGTTAAGTTATGTGGACTAAGCCGTGTCAACATAATCTCTCTGGAAAACAGATTTAGAGGCATTTTGGGGTTAGGTTTATCCGTGGCAAAATGAAGAGAAACACTAAATGGAATCATAGAAAAAAAATTGGGTTGAAAGAGTTTTCACAGTTAAAGTAAAGTCATTTTTTGTACTGAGTTTTTAACTACACGAAAACAAGGGAATGTCTGCATAGCGTATGTAAAACAAATGTGTGTGTTTTTGTGTGTGATAATTTGTGCATGATATTATTGTACATTCATAAATACCTAAGGCAGTTTACTCATTTCTATTGGTTGAGAGTCGATCACATGGGTAGTTTTAAGTGGTTGATAAAATGCCGGCTGGCCACTTTTTCGGTGTCACATGAATTTTGACTCCAGTCCATTTTACCCTTTATTGGTTGCACATTTGCAATCTTCACTTAGGCATGCGTACTACTACCATTGAGTCCGTATTTCATAGAGTTCTTACTTCACACTACTTTGGCACCGTTGCGTTCTGCGTCACAATTCGTGCAGTATGCGCCACGCATGTGCCAATCTCCATATAAAGAGATGTTTGCAACTACTCGCGAGAGGCACATACAATAACATAGCTAGAGGGGTGTTTAAAAAACCTAAAGCAAACTTGTTGAACAAAATTGTTTGAAATTTAACTTTTGCCTTGTTTTGACTTTTTGACCCAAAGTTATTGATAAATATGTACATGGCCGGTATTAAAGAAGTCCGTTTAAAACCAGCTTCGGGCCTGGTCCCCGATAATGGCCCAACCTTCGGCTCTAGTCCGGGGGTTGACAATGCAAGCGTGATTAGGGTCTGCACAACATATTTTTGCATTTTCTTGTCATTTGGACATTGTAGATCAATACTCCGGTGGGTGCCACCTTGGCACCCTTTAGCATTAAAAAAAATCATTTAATATGCAATTAGCTGCTGCCATTATGAAAAATACAACTGTTGTATATGTTCAGGAGAATGCACGAGAAAGTGTGGATTTGTTATTTCGCGCCGAGTGAATTAGTAAATGAAGAATCCACACTCGCGAGTGTATTCCTCGACTTAAACCATTGCGTCAAAAGAAGTATTGTCATTAACAGTCCAGTGAGTGGATATGAAAAGACTTGCATATCTCGTGTCCAGTTGTGGCCATTAGGGTAATTGACAAGGGAGTTTTTCAAGGCTCTTAAATACACAATCAAGCGTTGTGGCATGTTTAGCATATGTATCACCACACCCGTACAACCAAGTCATTTTGTGTGTAGGCTCCCTATGTCAACATGGATAGTTCAGACGACGATTTCTTTCGGACTCAAAGTAGTTTTTACAGTGACGGGAAGAATCTGACAGTGAAGATGTATTGGTAATTTTTGGAAGGAAAATTTTCATGCAGGCGGTTTTTTTAATGCTCATTATGGAGAACAATTGTCCAACATGTTCAAAGTGTGGATTCGTAATTCCGAATCCACCTTTCACATTCGTTGTTCCGAATCCACACTTTGTGACCAGTGTAACAGATTCGTGGATCCGAATCCACACTTTTAACAATAGTGTGACGTCATAGCAATGGTTTAAATTTCTGTAGGATATCGTCCAAACCTATCAACCGAGGTGTGTAGATCGAAGTTTTCCTAGATATTTTTTGGGTTGACCCAGGCTTCCAGCACTTGCAAATTAGCTGATCATGGCAAGAGATGTATGCATAAAGATTTTTGCACCATGTGTGAATTTCAAATTTTGAAATAGGGTTGGCAATTTTTTTATGGAGCTTTTGGTTTGGACCAATGCATAGGAATATGCAAATTAGTGCCGCTAATACCAGAAAATTGTGTTTTTGGATATCTCGGCCAATATAGCACATAACTAGACAAGTAAGGTGTCTAAACCCATGTTTTGAGGGTCAGGTGTCATTAGAAGACCATTCACAAAGTAAATGTGTGTGTTTGGCATGAAAATATGTAAATTCTGAAGTGCAGATTTATTAGAAATGTGATTTTTAGCCAATATCACAGCCAATATTGCAGCTAATATTAACAGAGGAGTTTTTGATAAGCAGTAATGATCAAAGTTGATTTGAAGCCATCATACTCAAAATTAACTGTAATATTGGCTGAAATTGAATAAAATATTGATGGTCAAAATTTCTGATAAACCAGCACTTGAGAATTTACATATTTTCATGCCAAAGACACACATACATGTAGTTACTTCATGAATGGTCTTTTAATGATACCTGACCCTCAAAATATGGGTTTAGACACCTCACTTGTGTAGTTATGTGCAATATTGGCCGAGATATTGGCTAAAAATAAATTTCTGATAAATCGGCACTGTAGAATTTACATATTTACTTGCCTAGGACACACTTAGTTACTTCATGAATGGTCTTCTAATGATACTTGACCCTCACTTGCCGTGATATGACAAAAACATGATTTTCCATTATTAGCGGCACTAATTTGCGTATTCCTATGCCACAGACACATGTGGTCACTTCCAGAATAGTTTTATTGTGATCTCTGACCTTGAAAACATGGGTTTAGACAACTAATTCGTTCAGTTATCTGTAATATTGGCTGAGATATAGAAATAAATAGATTTTTCAGTAATGGTGGCACTAATTTGCATAAAAACAATACGTGGGACATTTTTTTGATTTTTTTAACATAGCAAATCGTTTTTCTACGCATTTGTTCTGATCTAAAGACGTCAATTAGAAGTTGATTTCCGAGGGTGCACAATAACCTCTTCTTCCCACTAAACTACACGTACCTAATTAATAGTCAACTTATAGCAATCAACTTATAGCAAATTTCATTATCAACACAATTTTTCTTCTCCTACTTTCCATTTTCCTTTAAGCTGGAAATTCAAATGGAGCAAACTAATCATGAATTTGTCCAATTGGAAGGAACGTGGCATCATCTCAAAGAAGGTGAGTATTTCATACAGTCAAATGCATATCCAAATCAGGACACATTTTTTCCTTTTCAGATTTGGGAACATGTGTCAATAATATGAGCCATATCATCAAACCAACATGAAACAGTTTTAAAGCACTGAAAGACTGATGAACATTTTGACCTTTTGATGGACTCTTGCTTGTTTGCGGAAACATTTTCCCCCTCTGATATGGATAAAGCACAGTACAGTGTAAACTAGAGACAGTGGTTGTAAATTAACGCAAAACATTTGATTGCGTTAAATTGAGAGATAGTCTCTAAATAATCCTTCATGAATTATAAAATATTTTTAAAAAAAATTCACTGTGTCTTTACGCAATCTAAAAATTAGTTGAACTTCTAGTTATACTGTTAACTTACACTGTTAACTTACAGTGTCACATGATCATGACATTGCAGCCTGCACATATTCAGTATCACATGATTAAGTGTACAAATAGCTGTAATCATACGTCATTTGCATTCACGGGATATGACATACAAAAGAATTGCCACATATATATTCGTAAGTTCATGAAAGGAGAACCATGAATGTCATTGGCTGTTTCAGCAATTTGCCGAAACACCTTTTGTTTTTGTTAAGAATTTCTTTTTTTGGTAGCTTTTCCGCATAGTTACAGAAAAGCCTTTGTTTTTGTTAAGATTTTGTTTGTTAGCTGTTCCTGATTTGAATTGGGAAAAGATTTTGTTTTCGTTAGTATTATTTTTCTCCCATTTTTTTCCTTTTCAGTTCAGTTCAGTTCATTTATTTACCACTTATTCAATTCATGAGACATAACAGTAGATGTAATTACCAAACATCATTAGCTTTTTCGCAATTCTCCGCAAAGTTGTGGAAAAGCCTTTCTTTTTGCTCTAAATTTGCTTTTTCACTTCAGAAAAACAGTGTTTTTGTTCTGATTGTTTGTTTGTTTTTTTCCTTTTTTCTTTTTGACCTAAAACAAACTCGTTTACTTATGAAAATTAACCTATGTAAAGACCTATAGTGAGTTTGTGTCCCGAAGAGTAACGTCATGATGACATCAACTTGGGTCACATGACGTCATCTTAAATGTGCAAACTTTAAGACCATATATCTAAAGAACGGTAAGTCCGATTGGGTTGAAACTCGGTATGTTGGTAGACAGGGATGTGTTATAGGTACAAATTGAGGTGATGTCATCATGGTGTCATCTTGTATCAAATAACAAGCAATTAAAGATTTCTAGATTTAATCTTTGAAAATCAATGTCAAATCAACTGTAAGAGACCTGAACTTGAATTTTTTGGAAATTGAAAAAATAGTCTGTGATCTTTATTTTATCTCCTGTGTGCCAAATCGAGGGACCCTTCCTTCCGGTCTAAACCGGAATTGCCTTATAATTTGAAAGTGGAAAACATGGGCATTTGCTTTTAACGATGTTAGTCTCTGGCTAGGTTGTACTTCACAAACATAATACTGATGACGTCATAAAATGTTAGAGCTCCCTCTAGCGGCAGGTTGAAAATGTATATGAATAATCAGTTGATGTGTGTGGCGAAGTTTCCGGTAATCGCTTCAAAATTAAATTATATGATGACCTTTATCAAACAAATTGATGACGTCATCAGACCTAAATTTAGAATGGAAAGACCTGTTTTAAACCTCTACAACACCCAGGATTACACCAATATTTGCTTAAATCCCATAGACTTTGCACACATTTTTTTTCAGTGCCACTTCTGGCATTAATCTTTGTCATACATCATTCAAAGTTATCATCGCCATAGTCCTAGTTATAGCAAAGATGTGTCCTGAAGAGTGACATCATGATTACATCATCCTGGGTCACGTGACGTCATCATAAATGTACATATTTAACAGTCTTTTATTCTCAGACTGATATAAAACACACAACACACAATCATTTTTGTTTGTATGTAATTTGCCACAGCTATTTATTCAACACAACATTGCCAGATACCATGGGCAAACTGGCAAAGAAATACAATATAGTGGGATACACCAGATCCCCTGGGTTGACCAGACCCAGCCATGAAAAGGGCACACCAGGCCCACCAAATATAGGTCACACAAAATCCTGAAATTATGGCACACCAGGCCTATCATATATAGGTCACACCATACCTAGGTCACACAATATCCTGAAATTCAGGAAATTAAACCAGACCCTGGTACATAGGGCACCAGACCCAGCCATGAATAGGGCACACCAGGCCCACCATATATAAGTCACACCAGACCCTAATAAAGAGGGCACACCAGACCTAGTTACATAATGGAAGAAAATCTTGAATACAAATACCAAAATTGAACTATTAATAAACAATTCAGGCACAGGATGTTCCCCCGCATAACGCAAGGAGCTACGGGAGGAATGGCCCCTAGTGAACCTCCAGGGAGCCATTACAGTGCCTGTCACAACAAATGTAAACTGTCATAGTATATTTACATAGTATGATAGGGCAATTAATAGTGAATGTAATAAAGTTATTGGCCGTTATGATAGGGCAATGAAAATGTTTAACCTGTGTCTGTCTAATTCCCGCCAAAAAATCTTCCCCCGACTGAACCAACGGGAGGAATAATCACCTCTTGGTACACATCCAAGAAAGGCATAAGACGTTTATTCCTACTGCAACAGCAGAAAAGCTAAAAAAGATTTTTATCCCATACGAGTACCCTACGAATGGAGGTGATGGGGTGGAGGTGGGCAATTTGAAAGAAAATTATACTCATTGTGCATCACACAATGGGCTGTGACAAAGTGAGCCTAAAGTTGCACTTTCTTTTCCCACCAAAGTCAACCAGTAATATAAGAAGCTGCCCCATTGGCTGAAAGTTTGATGTAACATGAGTTCTCATTGGTCTAATCCTTCTGTTTTGATTGGCTGACACAGTATGCATAAATTAACACAGGATCCTGTTTACAATCCTGTGTTTTTCACAAAAAGTAAAATGGCATTTTAAGTAGGAAATCCTAAACCAAATCTGAACATACATGCATGGAAAGAAAGCTGTTAAAAAGTACTTTACATACATGAGAAAAGTTTTCCACTTGAGAAGCTGATACTGTGCAGAATCTTTTATTTTCCATCCCATTTGTAATGTCATTTGTGCAAGTCAACATATTTACCCATCCTCACACTCTGTCCTTTACAGAATTGCTACAAATTTATTGATCTTTCAATGAGGCAAAAACACACAGCTAAAGATACAATGGTTTTCTGTGTCACAAAGTGCAATGTCCTTTTATAAGTGGAACTTCACTCAAAGCTTAACACACACACACACACACAGCCTACAAGTAGAAATGCATATTCATGAAAAAGTTTGCCAACTCAGCAGCTGATTGGCTGCTCAAGATAGCTCACTATCCTGTGTTGCCACAAGGTTTGCAATGGCATTTTGTGCAGTAAATCTTTTCACAGATATGTGCATGCATGCATGCATGCATGCCTGCACAGTGTGTTTCCAAATAGTGGAATTCTACTGTGGGACTTCGATAGCAAAGATAATTAGTAAATCGTACATGTATGTAACACAGCTGATTTCTTATTGTGAATGGCATGTACACAGCAGTTAATTAATTTGATGTGTGATATACAAGTGTGCTTCTGTGGCAATTTCCTAAGCATTTTGTCACACATGCGTAAGTAAAAAACACCAACTGAGAAATTCTGATAATAAAGCATTTGATCATTTATTCAAATGATAAAATGTCATATCTACATAACTGTAAGTTTGATTGGGTTGAAACTCGGTATGTAGTTAGACCGAGACGTGTTATAGATGAAAATTTAAGTGATGTCATCATGATGTCATCATGTGATTTTATATAGATTTTTGAAGTTTTGAAGCTTATCGCTCCATATCTCATGAACGAAAAATGCCAGATTCATAATTCCTTTTGTGTTAGGTTTGTTAGGTAATAGGTATATGCACAAATTTGTGTGACGTCATGATGACTTCATCAAAAATGCGATTTTTCAAAACATATTTAAGGTAAGATCCGATCGTCATAAAACTTAATGGATGGGTAGATAATGGTACTAGTATGCAAAATCCAAAATGACATCATAATGACGTAATCGGCAAATTTTTATGAATTTTTGAATATTTCAGAAATTTGACACTGTTTGTGATTTTGATCGACTCCAAACTTGGTGCAGACCAAGACCACATAGTAAATGTGTGCGCTGACAAGTTACGTATTGATAACATCATCTAGGGTCTCTTGACGTAGCCTTAAAGGTGCGTATATTAAATATCTATATATCTGAAGGACCATATGCCCAATTTGGTTGAGAGTTATACCTGTACAGATATACCAGGGACATACCGGTACTGTTGATGAATTGGAAGTGACGTCATTATGACATGCTAATGGTCATGTTACGTCATCTTTAAGTTTCGTACTCTATTCCGATTGGGAAATTTGATTAGTACTGCGATAATACAGCGTCCCATATTCCTTCATGTACGTGTGTACATTATTAAAATGTACATTATTTTTTATGACTGCGCCTATCAGTTGCTCGATCGTGAAAAGGAAGTGGCGCCCTCTTGTGGCAGGAAAAAGTGCTCCCTTTACTTCACTTGGCGAGACCTACACATGTGCAAGGAAGTTGGTTCAACCTAGGCAAATTAGCTTTTAAGTGGATGTTAGTGTTTTCGCATTCTTTGCTACTCCAATGCATGCAATGCAAAACTTTTATGAAACCATGACCAAGCTGCAAGTGCTTGATATTTCTACGTGATAGATGCCTTCACTAATACATGTACATGCATTATTGACATCAATTTGCCCAACCATGACATTGTTTCTAATTATGCTCCCATCCCCAACCCCCACTGATCCCCAACCCCTCTGCAGGTGGGGTAGCAAATTTCTTTTCCCAATCAACATCCATTATACATGGTTTTTGAGGGCCCTCTACGATACTTTTATGATACGTACGCTGTTACTTGGCATATAATGCCATGCAGTTC